TTCTAAAGTATAATTTTTATCTATAGCTCAATGATTTTAATTTAATAATTTTAATTATGTTAATTCATGTGCCAAAAATTATGGGACAGATTACTAGTATAGTGTAGGAGCCCTCTGTCTTAGTGGTACCCAACCACCAGGGCACAGATTATTTGGTACTGACTGCACAGAAAGAATAAAAACTTTTTTCCATTTTATTGACTATCGAGGTCCTGTTTATTGTGTTTTGTTAGGCATGTGATGGCACTGACCCCACCACCACACACACACACACTCACATCCAAGTCTGTGGAAAAATTGTTTTGGTCTGTGGTACAAAAAGGTTGGAGACTGCTGCTCTGTCTCATATCTCATGCATTGACTACAGACTTTATTTGATCTAGAGGCCACTAGTGGGTAGTAATGCCTTCAATCAGGTTTTCCTTATGAAAATATTGAGACTGAGGGATGTCTAAATGTTCCCATGATTTCATAAATAGAATGTCACCATCTCATATCCATACTTTCCCCCTTTCGAATTTGGATAATTCATGTTACTTTGCCACAAACAACCAACACAGTATTCAGTATAATCTTTGTACAGATAAGTTATAGACATTAGAGAAATGCTTGTGACAATTATGCTGAGATGGCAAATGTTAAATACAGATTTTTATCTATATTATAATGATTATAATTTCATGATTTTAATTATATCAATTTAGTCAATTTTTACATGCTAAAAATTATGGTATAAGGTACTAGTATCATGTGAGACTCCACTATGTATATCATATTTCCTGCATTGAATGCAGACATTATTTCAATCCAGTTTCACTTGTTTGTTACTGCAGACAATTCTAGCCAGAGACTACTGTCAAGTGGTCATGTCTTCCATCAGATCTTAATGAAAATGCTAAGATCAAATGCTGTTAAACATTCTCACAATTTCAAAAATGTCTCATCCACCTTGTGCTTCCTTTCAAATATGGATAATTCATGTCACCTTGCCACAAAGAACCAATGCAGTATTCAGTATGACTTTTGTACAGATAAAAGTTAAAGACATTCTATAATTTCTATAACTTTTTCTGTTACTCTATTTTAATGAGGTTAATTTTCATGATTTTAAATATGTTGACTCAGTTAATTTTTACATGTTAAAAGTTATGAGATGAGGTACTAGTATCATTTGGGAATCCACTATGTATCTCCAGCATTGAATGTGTGCTTTATTTGTGCCAGTATCATTTGTCTTTTACTGCAGATGATTCTAGCTAGATATGAACGATCATTACTATTCTAGTTAGATGCCACCAGTAGGTTACTGTGCTGTTGACAGTGCCTGGTAATGCCTTTCATCAAGTTTCTTTTGTTTATACATGGAGGTTGAGAGATGTCAAATTTTCTGCAAATTTAGAAATGTAATGTCTCATCCTTCTGATATCCACAATCATACTCCATTCAAGATGTAACTCCTCACTTTACTTGTAGCAGCTCAACCAGTATTTATTATAACTGTTGTCCAGCTAAAATTTACAGATATTACAAACAAAAAATATGCAAATACCTGTTGGCATATTATATGAGTAAGTGCTGAAAGGTTTTTGATCCAACACTCCTCCCAAATCTGAACAGATGATCAAACACCTTGATTAGGTTGAGAACTTTTTTGCATGTTGAAGTATATATAGTTTAGTAAATATAGATTCTAAAATATTGAATATGGTATGCATGTGACACTATCGTTACTACAGGTCTTCTACTGTTTGTCTCAGCTTCAATGACAGCCTGCTGAACTGGGAAGGATATAACCCTAGATGCCAGTCACTCTAAGGACATTATTAAAATGTTATGAATCCCAAACATAATTCATAAGAAGACTGCTTTACTTCAGGTCCTCTACTGGTTTTCTTAGTTTCAAGTATGACCTGCTGGATTTTTTTTTTTTTTTTTTTTTAAGCGTTTCACCCCAAACAAGGCGGAAAGCCAACAGAACACAAGGGGTTACAGAAAATTTGGAGCAAGGTCAGATAGGAGTAATAGAAGAAAGGATGAGGAGAAGAGTAGTGGATAGATCAAGGCAACTGGAGATACAGAGGCCAGTGAGAGAGAGAGAGTACCAGAAACCCCTTCTTAAACAAGAAACAAGGCATAAGCCTCTACTCATGTCCAAGAGAAGGGGGAGGAGTGTGGACCGGGCGGTAGGATTTGTGAAGGATATTTCCCCAGATGCTGGTAACTCTAGTGACCTTACTCCTGTTTAGAAGCCCTCTTTATCCCACATTGTGTTATCTTGATAATGAAGTGGTTTTCCAGTAAGAGCTTGAAATGTGACTGTCCATTTCTCCTTATTCTCTCCATAACTCTTACACTTCATGTGACTTCTTGAATAGTCAGCTTCTTTCTTTTCTCATTCTATGACTACTCTATATAGAATGGCACCTGACTATATAAACCTATGTCCGGAATTCTCTACCGTCTGGTTAAGTGTCGCTTGATCCCAAAAGTTTTTATTATAAATTTCCTTTTCCCTACTTTTGGTTAGCAGGTGTATGCTTTGAAATGCTGAGATATCATTTTTACTAGCCACTCAGGGAGTAGACATAAAACCTACCAGTCAATCCCCACCCAGATAAAATTATTTTCAGTCTACTTAACTATAATCAATCAAGCAGTGACCCAATGTATCTCACATATAGGCTGACACTCTTTCAAAGTATCTAATATCTTTAAAGTTCATTTCCATCCTAAATTCTTTTATTGATAACTTTCATATCAACATCATTAGTGATTATTGCTTTAGATGCACCAATTATAATGGGAATACAAGCCTTTCACAATGAAGGAACATATTTTCCACCAATACATTAAATTCATTTTTGCTTTATTTATATATGTTTCTTTTTATTAGCATTATCCAAAGAATTGTAGTAACAATTAAACTTCACCCCATGCTGTTTCACTCACACTGAAATCCAAAGATCTGGTGAGCAAAAACTTAAACAATCCAATGTGATTCATTATAATCACATTGAAAAGGGGTTCTCTTTAGGCTATTCATGATCTTCATGTTAATATTGAAATGTTTTCTGTTATTTTACTTGTCTTCCTTTTGCCAAGTCATTTGTAAACTTGGTACTTAATAAAGTCATTACATCTCGATATATTCTTATACTGATTAGAGGAATTGTTCTTCATTTTTTTCTATCTTGTTCTAAAATTAACACCAACATGGTACAATCTCTGTTAACCACAACCATCACCACTAAATCTATTCATATAAAATTGACCATCTCTTGTATTAGCATAATTATAGCCATATGAAATATGTTACTCTCTTATTATGGCCATATGGAATATGTTACTCTCTTATTATGGCCATATGAAATATGTTACTCTCTTATTATGGCCATATGGAATATGTTACTCTCTTATTATGGCCATATGGAATATGTTACTCTCTTAAATTAATGGTGTTTTCAAACTTAACTTCATAGTTAATGGGATTGAAAATGTTATATAGTCCACAAATCTTTTTTTTGGCTTGGCTCTCAGTTTGAAATAAGACAAAACAGTGATCATAACATTTACTGTTCTTAATGAAAGGTCAATGAGTGCTGAAAGTTTCCTTATAAGGATACAGCTAATATTATCATTACCATCTAACTTCTATACCTTTTATGACATCTCTTGTACATAGTCATTATTGTCTTAATCCATTGATCCATGAATGTGAATTTCTTTTTTTCTCAGTATAGGAAGAGTTGTGAAATTCCCACTTTCAAATGTTCTTAGACATGCTTCATTTTTCTGTTTGAATTTCCGGGATAAATTATCATTATTGACATTATGTAGCCAGATTAATGTCCATATTACTGAAAAAAAAGAAAAGTGAAACCAGCTGACCCTTAAATGTGAGAGTGGAAGGATATCTAAAAGTTTTAATTAGGGTCAAGATTCACAGTAAAACTGCAGCAGCAGAAGTAAGAAAGAAACATGGCAGCAAAGAGTTCAAGCTTGACAGCAAGGAACAGTGAACACTATATCAATGACATTTAATATTATTGTTATTACTGTTATTGTTTAATTATTATTGCTTAGATATCAATACCATAGTGCCCATCTACTATGTAAGCATTACACTAAAATAAAGAAATTTTAAATGATCAGAAGTAAAGGAGTAACAAGACATAGCAGTAAAACTTTCTATTTCTTTCATTTAAATCTCTAACCCTTTTCTTTTTTCACTTTTCTTTTCATTTTTCTCTAATTTTCTTACTTACTGTTGTGTCACTGGGTGTGCTTATCTGTGTCAAATAAGTAGAACACACAATTTGAACCTTTATACATTTTATGTACTGTTAGATAATAATAGATGTAAAGCCTAACAAGTAGATTACTAGTAGATTGACAGTTCGATAAAGGATATATGAGGATGCGTGATGGCAATCTTGAAATCCCCTTTCTGCTCTGTTGTCCTAGAGAGTTCCTATCAAGGGTCATAACTTGGTTCCTATCCAGGGAGCAAGTTAGCTACCTGTTACGATGTCAGACCTAAATCTTACCCTCTACCTTTTTCTCTTTAATACCTTTTTTTCCCTATTATGCCTCTCTTTTGGTTTTAACCCCTTTGTTTGGTGTTTGAAAAACCAAGAGATACGGATCTAATAAATATCATATAGGACTCCTCCTCAAATGTGAAATTAAGTGTTGATAAAACCTCTGTATAGATGTTAAGCAATATTCTCTGATAGTTGTCCATTGTTTCTATAAATGATCAGTTGAACATGTCTATTTGGCATACATGCCCTATACATAGGACATCATTTTCTTACCAATACACTGATGAAATTCATTTCATGATGTTCATTAGGATGCCCCTTTGACTTACTGGAATAAAAAAGAAAAGTCAAAAAGTAGTTTTATAATTTTAGTTTGATTCTGTACCTATTTTTTTTTTTTTTTTTTTTTTTGACACCAATATTGTACTCTGACCGGATTTATTTTTACTTTTTCAGCCCAAGAATCCAGTTATCGACAGAATGGTAAGTCAAAAAGCAGTTCTATTATTTTATTTTCATTTTGTACCATCTTTTTTTGACACCAGTATTATGTACTGATTGGAATTATTATTACTTTTTCAGATAGAGATTTGAACCATATACCAGGGGGTAAGTAAAAAAAATTATTGTATTATTGTATTTTTATTCTTTACTGTTTTCTTTTTTTTTTTTTTCTTTGATACCAGTATTATACTCTGACTGGATTTAATTTTACTTTTTCAGCCCAAGAGTCCAATCAAACACAGATAGGTGAGTCAAAAAGCAGTTCAATTATTTTATTTTTATTCTGTACTGTTTTTTTTCTTTCTTTTTTTTTTTGTAAGCAGTATTATATACTGATTGATTTTATTATTACTTTTTCAGATGAAGAGTCCAGCCTTCTAACGGATGGTAAGTAAAAAAGCAGTTGGCTTCTTTTATTTTTATTTTGTATCCTCTTTTTTTAACACCAGTAAATCTTAATTATTTTATATTCCATATCTTCTTTTTTTTTCCCCCCAATGGCTCACATGTATGTATACATCTTTGTGCTGGGGTATCTGTGGGCTGCAACTTGACCCTCCAAATATGTTATCTGAAAGAAAGCTCATATTTTGAAATTATTTTATTTTTATTTTGTACCATCTTTTTTTGACACTGGTATTATATACTGATTGGATTTATTATTACTTTTTCAGATGGAGAGTTGAACCATACACCAGGAGGTAAGGAAAAAAAGTATTGTATTATTGTATTTTTATTCGTTACTGTTTTCTTTTTTTTCTTTTTTTGATACCAATATTGTACTCTGACGGGATTTATTTTTTACTTTTTCAGCCCAAGAGTCCAATCAAACACAGATAGGTAAGTCAAAAAGCAGTTCAATTATTTTATTTTTATTCTGTACCGTTTTTTCTTTTTTTCTTTCTTTCGTTTTGTAAGCAGTATTATATACTGATTGGTTTTATTATTACTTTTTCAGATGAAGAGTCCAGCCTTCCAACGGATGGTAAGTAAAAAAGCAGTTGGCTTCTTTTATTTTTATTCTGTATCCTCTTTTTTTGACACCAGTATTTTATACTGATTGAATTTATTTTTACTTTTTCAGCCCAAATGTCCAATCATACACCAGGAGGTAAGTCAAAAAGCAGTTGTATAATTTATTTTTATTCTGTACCCTCTTTTTTTAACACCAGTAAATCTTAATTATTTTATATTCTGTATCTTTTTCTTTTTTTTTTTTTTTTTTTTTTTTTGCAACCCCCCCCTTTGGCGTGCTGAACAACAGCAAATCCTCAATCCCACCTCTGTTCAGTCAATTCGAGTCCTGACTTCTACAGCAGATAAGGTTGATTGCTTTGCTTGGAAATTCTCTTCCAACTCAACACTCGACTCATTTGGAGTACTCGCACATGATTTCCCCACTAGAACTGAGGCTGTATTGAGTGATATGCACATAACCCTGTCACTGGTCTTGGACATCATTTCTTAATTAGTTTCCATAAGACAAGCGGAGCTGAGAGCATACAAGTTGTCGTTCTAAAGATATGTTCTCCTGATCTGGCTCCAGTTCTCTCCAAACTATACAACTATTGCCTTGCTTCTTCTTGCTTTCCAGCTTGTTGGAAGTCCTCTTCTGTAGTCCCTGTTTTTAAGAATCCTGGAGAACCTTCTGACCACTCTAATTATTGCCCTATTAGTCTTCTACTGTTTTTTGGCAAAGGATTTGAGGCTTTAGTTAATGATAAAGTGGTTAAGCATTTTACCTCTCATGACCTACTCTCTGACAAACAGTATGTATTCTCCTTTGCACGGCCTACCCCTGACATGCTTATGGTCATCAATTAATATGTATGTCAAGCTCTTGGTAATGATGGCAAAGTTCGAGCTGTGGCTCTAGATATCTCAAAGGTGTTAGATAGGGTTTAGCATGCTGGTCTTCTATGTAAGTTTGAGGTCTACAGTATTACAAGATGATTGTTTGATTTAAGACAATCATTTCTATCAAAGCGTGAAATAAAGGTTGTTTTGAACGGGCTTGATTCCAGATCCTTTCACATGAACACGGGTGTCCCCCAAGGCTCTATCCTGGGTCCTACACTTTCTAATTTTCATCAATGATATTTCTGATCTGATGTCATCAGTTTCCCAAGTAGGCATCTTTGCAGATGACACTCCCATTTACTCTTGTCTCAATAGCAAATCCATCAGCGCTGACAAAGTTAACCTGACTACTGCTCTCAGAAAGGATCTCCAATCAGTTGTTAGCTGTGGCAAGAAATGACTTGTAAATTTTAGTGCCTCCAAAACTCTCATTTAACAACCACAGAGAAATTTCCTTGCCTGTCATCAGCATAGCTGATGCTTGACTCCAGGATAGTATCTCACTGTGCCTTCTTGGCCTTATGTTTTCATCTGACTTGAAGTGGAACAATGACATTGAATCAATAGTTGCATCTACTGCAATGAAAGTTGGTTCACTGTGTTGTACTAGAAGCTTTTTCTCATCAGAGTCCATCTTGCACATCTACAAATCTACCATTCATCTATGTATTGAATACTGTTGCCATATATGGTTTGGTGCCTCTGCTTTTTATCTCATGATTCTTGACAAAATCCAAAGAAGTATCTGCAATGTAATCAGTCTTGAATTGGCATCTCGACTTCAGTCACTTTCTCATAGACATGATGTAGCTTCCCTCTGTCTTTTCTACAAATATTTTCATGGTAACTCTTCTAACAAGCTTTTTTACCCTGGTATTCTGACTATATGAATTTAAGCATGCTTCTAAATTGGCATCTAGGTCCCACCTTTTGACTGTTTAAATAGTTAAATGTAACTGCCACTTCTACTCCAACAATTTCTTTCTTCAGACTTCCTGACAGTGAAACTCCTTTCCTTTAACGTGCTTCCTTGATAACTACAATCTTCAAAAATTTAAATGCAACATCAATCATCATTTTCTGTTGTCCTGAAACCTCTTCATTCTTTTCTCAATCCCTACCATACCCAGTCTTTTCTCTCATTTTCACACTGTAAATTCTTGCATACTAGTGGCACTTCTGCCATGCTTGGGATGAAATGCTAAAAAAGAAATACTGACTGGATTTACTATTACTTTTTCAGATGAAGAATCCATCCATACACCTGGAGGTAAGTCAAAAAGCAATTGTATAGCTTTAGTTTTATTCTATACCCTCTTTTTTATACTAATAATATATATTCTTCTTTATGTACTGTGTCCTTTCAGGATGTTGATGATTATGGCTCTCCACAATTTCCTGTCTTTTGTAGCACTTAATGTTGTCTCTGTTGTTTCTTCTAAAGCCTGTTTCACCATCCTTTTACTCAAACTAAGTATGTTGTCTGCATCTGTCCCTCTTGCCTTCAAATCTGTGAGTGTCAGATTTTCCAAGCTCTCTTTCTTCATTGTTTGCTGTGTAAATTTTAGTTGTCTCTTACTGGTGTTAAGTATAAGTTTCCTTTCTGTTTCCATTTTCTCTAAACCTTTGTTGTTGGTCAAATATCAGCCCTTCCTTAACATCCTTTTGTAGAATCAGACTTCTGTTGCTTCGAATCTTCATCTTTAAGGAGGTTGTCCTGCATTTACTGCCATATTGGAGGACACATTTTTTTAAATTTTTTTTGTAATCAAGTTCACCTCATACAAGGCAGTAAAGCAACTAAGACACAAGGTGTTACTGAATGTAGAAGAATTAGAAACATTACTAAGGAGCAAGAACAAAAGAGTTATCAGGAGGACAGTAGATATCTATTTACATTGCATTTATATTGCTGAAGATTAAAGTTGGCTGGAAAGCATGGAACCGGAAGAGAGTTCCCCAAGCGAGAAGTGCGAGAAAAGAAACTGTTAGCATATAATTTACTATTACATCCAGCAAACTCAACAGTAAATTGATGAGATCTTGTCGCCATTGTATTACTGCAATTAAATTCAAAATATTTGGTACCATAATGAAGAGATCAACCAAACAATTGGCCTAATTGTCAAAGAGCTCTAGACAAATAGTAGGAGCACATATGTGGCAACAGTATTCTAAGCATTGATGAATGGTAGACTTATAGATATGTAGTACAAATTCTGGAAAGACAAAATGTCTAGCATGACACAGTGAGCCAACTTTCTTAGCAGCTGACCAGTAATGGACCCAATATAGTCTTTCTACTTCATATCAGCTAAGAACATTAGCCTGAGAACATACAATGAGTCACCATCCTAGAGGTTAGCATCAGCCATGCTGATAGAAAGCAGAGAAGGATCTCTCAGAAGATTAATGGAGAAAAGTTTAGTTTTAGAGATATTAAAATTAACAAGCCATCTTTAGCCCCAGATAATGACAGACCTGAGGACACTGGCTGCAAGTTGAGAGCTCATGCCATCAGGAAGATCATTAATGAAAATTAAAAACAAAGTAGGCTCAAAGATGGAGCCCTGGGGAACATATGCATTAGTACAAAAGGATCTAGAAGAGTATCTGTTCAGGATTACTTTCATTTCACAATTTGATAGAAAAGACTGGGTCAGTTCAAAAATTTGTCCAGTAATTTGACACTGTAACTTTTTAGCCTGTGGAGAAGACCTGTATGTGTCATCTGTTGAAAGTTTTCAAGATGTCCAATGTGACAGATCACATATTAGTTCTGTACTCTTTTCTTTGTTTCTAACAAAGTTTTTCTGTTTCTCAATTCTATGCTTAGCTTTTGGAATGAATCTTTGGCTATTCCAATGTGTCTTCAAATTTCATGTCACACTTTAAATTTTTGTACTTGTTTGATTTTGTTATCTGCAATTTGTAATTTGCATGTTGGGCTGTTCCTTTTGCTAACAACCATGCATTCAGTTTTCTTGCAATTGGTCCTTTCTTCTTGCTTTCCTTTACTACCTTCTGCAGCTAATTTTTGTAGTTTTCTTTCCATGTCTATTTTCAACACTGTGTCATCTGCATATCTTGGCCACGTTTAATTAATCCTGATAGGATATTTAACTCTCTCAGAATCACTATAGGTTGAATGAGTCCAGTGAGAAGGGGCATCCTTGTCTTACACCCCTTTCTATTTTTGTATAACTGCTGAGCTCATTTTCTATTCATATACAGGCGGTTTGCTGCCAGTATAGGTTCTTGATTATTATAATATCCTTCCTAAATATGTCAAGGTTGGTGTGTAGTTCCAACAGATCTTTGTGGTATACTTTATGAAATACCTTTACATACTCTATAAAACACAGGTACATGTGATTCTGCGTCTGTATTGCTCTTTCTGATAACATTCTGAACATAAATATTGCCTTCCTTGTTCCAGTCTCTTTGATGAACATACAACTGACTGGATTTAATTTTACTTTTTCAGACCAAGAGACCAACCATACAACAGGAGGTAAGTTAAAAAAAAACCCAGAGCCAGATCAGGTCAAAAAAGTGTACTGCTGCCATATATGGGTAGGAGCTGCCCAGCATTAACTTTACACTCCTGATGTCTATTTTCCACTGTGTAACAACTAGCTCATAGATGAGACATTGCAAGCTTCTCACTGCTCTATTTCTATTTTCATGGAGAGTGTTCAGATGAACAATACTCATTAGTTCCACAAACTAAAATAAAAACTCTTTGAATGATCAGAAGTAAAGGAGTAACAAGACATAGCAGTAAAACTTTCTATTTCTTTCATTTAAATCTCTAACCCTTTTCTTTTTTCACTTTTCTTTTCATTTTTCTCTAATTTTCTTACTTACTGTTGTGTCACTGGGTGTGCTTATCTGTGTCAAATAAGTAGAACACACAATTTGAACCTTTTATACATTTTATGTACTGTTAGATAATAATAGATGTAAAGCCTAACAAGTGGATTACTGGTAGATTGACAGTTCGATAAAGGATATATGAGGATGCGTGATGGCAATCTTGAAATCCCCTTTCTGCTCTGTTGTCCTAGAGAGTTCCTATCAAGGGTCATAACTTGGTTCCTATCCAGGGAGCAAGTTAGCTACCTTGTTACGATGTCAGACCTAAATCTTACCCTCTACCTTTTTCTCTTTAATACCTTTTTTCCCTATTATGCCTCTCTTTTGGTTTTAACCCCTTTGTTTGGTGTTTGAAAAACCAAAGATACGGATCTAATAAATATCATATAGGACTCCTCCTCACCTGTGAAATTGCTGCAGCACCATAAGTGGTTGATAAAACCTCTGTATAGATGTTAAGCAATATTCTCCTGATAGTTGTCCATTGTTTCTATAAATGATCAGTTGAACATGTCTATTTGGCATACATGCCCTATACATAGGACATCATTTTCTTACCAATACACTGATGAAATTCATTTCATGACGTTCATTAGGATGACTCTTTGACTTACCGGAATAAAAAAGAAAAGTCAAAAAGTAGTTTTATAATTTTAGTTTGATTCTGTACCTTTTTTTTTTTTTTTTTTTTTTTTGACACCAATATTATACTCTGACTGGATTTATTTTTACTTTTTCAGACCAAGAATCCAATTATCCACAGAATGGTAAGTCAAAAAACAGTTCTATTATTTTATTTTCATTTTGTACCGTCTTTTTTTGACACCAGTATTATGTACTGATTGGAATTATTATTACTTTTTCAGATAGAGATTTGAACCATACACCAGGGGGTGAGTAAAAAAATTATTGTATTATTGTATTTTTATTCTTTACTGTTTTTTTTTCTTTTTTTGATACCAGTATTATACTCTGACTGGATTTATTTTTACTTTTTCAGCCCAAGAGTCCAACCAAACACAGATAGGTGAGTCAAAAACCAGTTCAATTATTTTATTTTTATTCTGTACCATTTTTTTTCTTTCTTTTTTTTTTGTAAGCAGTATTATATACTGATTGGTTTTATTATTACTTTTTCAGATGAAAAGTCCAGCCTTCCAATGGATGGTAAGTAAAAAAAGTTGGCTTTTTTATTTTTATTCTTTTTTTTATTTTTTATTCTGTATCCTTTTTTGACACAGGACAGTAAATCTTAATTTATTTTATATTCCATATCTTATTTTTTTTCTTCTTTTTTTTCCCCCCAATGGCTCACATGTATGTATACATCTTTGTGCTGGGGTATCTGTGGGCTGCAACTTGACCCTCCAAATATGTTATCTGAAAGAAAGCTCATATTTTGAAATTATTTTATTTTTATTTTGTACCATCTTTTTTTGACACTGGTATTATATACTGATTGGATTTATTATTATTTTTTCAGACCAACCCACCAACTATACACCAGGAGGTAAGTCAAAACACTTTTGTGTTATTTTATTTTAAATTTTTACACTCTTTTTAATACCAGTATTATATACTGACTGAATTTACTTATATTTTTTCATAGCAAGATTCCAACCTTACACCAGGAGATAAGTTAAAAAAATAGAGCCAGATCAGCTCAGAAAATGAGTACTCCTGCCATATATCAGTGGGGAGCTGCCCAGTTTTAACTTGCTCCTCTTGATGTCCTTTTTTTTTTTTTTTTTTTTTTTTTTTTCATTATGCACTATCTTTACCACAGACTTTGCAAGCCTCTTGCTGGTCTATTGCTGTTTCCATGGAGAGTTTCCAGATGAACTTCAATCTTTAGTTCCACCAGTCCTCACATTCATGGCTATGACCTGCTATACCATGCACATTGTAGCGGACCACCCTCATTCCCTTCATATTCCACTGGTGAGAAGTTCCATTCAAGTAGTTTTTTTCCATGAACTAGTGCCTTGTGAAACTCCAAAGAGGTTGCTTCCCTGATCACTATAAGCTTAACAAATCTAGGGTTAACTGTTATCTTCCACACACACCTGCACAAACTGTACCCCTTACTCTTATCTTGTATAGGGAGAATACCAAAAAAAAAAAAAAAAAAAATGCTGCACAATCTCCCCACATATGAAGAAAATATTTGAAGCAACAGAAATGTGGTTCTGTAGAAGGATACTGAGAATAGCATGGACTGAATATGTCAGCAATTAGGAATTTTAAAGAAAATGAAAAAAACAAACACTTATACTTTATATCTGGAAGAGAGAGTTGAAATTTCTAGGACACATAATGAGGAAAAAGGACTTGTACAAATTGATACTCAATTCTATCTAAAACTCCTTGATTCTACCATCCATAGAGGTATTAGATTGGTGCTTGGGGTTTTTAAAACATCCCCAGTTGAATGTTTATATGCAGAAGCTGACAAATAACAATTAGATGTGAAAAACTGGTACACAGTATTATAGAAAACTAAAATCCTGTCCATCTAACCTTTCCCACAAAAATACTTTCCTCCCTCAATACAGAAATCTTTATCAGCAAAAAGAAAAACACTATAAAATCATGGGCTTTGAATGAATCCTTTATTGAGAAATCTAAAATACAACTGGTAATAATCCATGAGGATATCACTCCTAACATTGCTCCCTGGACCATACAATCTCCAAAAATAATATTGGACTTAAGCAAATTCCAAAAAACAAATATGCATCCTCTTATCTTTCAGGAAGAATTTGATAAAATCAAAGAAAACTATCCCAGTCATGCACTTATCTTTACAGATGGGTCTAAACATGGAAATATAACAGGATGTTCAACAATATCTCAGAAGAAAATAAGCAGTAAGCACCTTCCAGACGAAACCTCCTCCATCAATGCTGAAGCCTGTTCCACAGATCTAGCACTCAACATTATTTCAAAAAATAAAAACAAAAAAATTATAACCTTTTCTTATTCATTATTAGTTTAACAACACTAAAAAATAAGACTTGACAACCTGTTAATACTCAAGTTGATAAATAAACTCCATTTAATATCTGTGTCAATAGATGTGATGTGTTTGATCCTAAGTCACATTGGAATAATTGGAAATGACAAAGCTGATGCAGTTGCTAAACATGTTGAGAATATGGAAATTGAGCTGAACTTTAAGATCCCTCACACAGACCTGAAGAGCCAAATAGATTTATTAAGCAAAAATGGGAACAACAATAGAGTAACAATGCACCAATTACTACAAATCAATCCCAATACGTGGTGAATGGAAGCCAGGTTATAGAAAATCCTGAAAAGAAGAGGTAGCATTGGCCTACTTGCACATTGGACTACTTGCACATTGGCCATGCAATAATTACACACTTGTACCTACTGAAGAACCATCAACATGCCCAACATGTAAATCTGCATACACGATAAAACATGTATTGACTGAATGTACAGCTCTTACTCCATTTAGGAAGACTTTCTTCAATATAAGCAACATAAGAGTGGTCTTTGAAAGAGCAAGGATGGATGGTATTGTATCATTTCTCAAAAGAGTGGGTTTATATAAAAAAAGATATAAACCCAAAAAAAGAAAACTAATATCTAAACCAACCAACCAACCATGTGATGGAAAAAAAGAGCTGAAACCATTAGTTGGAAAAAAAGAAAATAAGTAACTAAATAGTTGATAACATATCATTGAGTATAAAAAAAAAAAAAAAAAAAGAAAAATTTTTAGGAATTTTTTTTTTGGGGGTAAATGATTATCTCTTTCACTACACTCCCCCCTGTCACATAAGTGACACTCAGGTGGGCCTCTTTATTCTGGAGTTTCTCCAGAGTGGGACGACTGTTGGAGGGGATTGTGTGGTATGTTCTGACGACTCTAGGATTCTTCTGATCTGAAAACCTCATGCACAGAGTCTTCGCCATCTGAAGAGGTGCTAGCCCTACCTCCGATGGTGATTATTTGTTCACTTCCTGTGCACTCACTGCTAGTGTCACTTGTTGAAGTATCTGAACCTACATAGCAATGCAAGTCTTTTATGTGTCTTGGTATTCCATCAACCAGCACAGAGCAAGAGTTACTTATTCCAGTGACATGCCCCACCCGATACCGAGTTGTACACCACCTATGTGGAGCCTTCACCCACACACGATCACCCAGGTCATACGGCACTCGTTCATTTATCCATTCAGTTGAACGCGTCATAGCTGGACTTTGTACCGGTAAATCATGTTGGCTGGTGCAGTTGAGAGTGATACATTATTGTCTTCAGGGGTAACATTGTGCCAATACACTGCCTCCATTATGGGACACTGCTTCCTAGCAGCGATTCTCTTGATGCTCCAATGACATCACTCAATTATGCCATTTCCTGATGGGACATCTGTGCAGCGAAATCTGAGGTAGACTTCCCACGAATCAAAAAAATTTTTAAAAAGTCCACTGTGTAATGCAGTGTCATTGTCAGTGAGGAGTTCCGTCGGAGGTCCATGTTCAAAGAACAACACCTGCAAGTGGTCGATCATGCTTGTGGAATCCTGTCAACACAGACGTCACCAAATAGTGAACCGGTTTGGGCCACAGTCAATCAGGGTGGGATAGTGAGTTCCATTATGATGGGTGATGTCCATTCCAACACGGTGCCACACTTTGCTCATATTCAGTTGTCCTTTTGGCCATTGCACATTTTTGTGCACACACATCAGCATGAGCCGTGTATGTGTCTACATGTTCGTCCCATTCTTTATAATCTAGTACAGGGCACACCTTTCCCTTGTTCTTCTCTACCACGGCCATCAACAGGATGAGGCCTCTTGGAGGACCAAGCTCTTTTTCAGGATATGGAGTCAGCCATCCATTGTCCAGCCACACCTGCAATTCATGCTGGTATTCTTCCTTGACGCGTTTGGGCACCGAATACTCTGACACTTTTCGGTTCTGGAGTTTTTCTGGTGGGTTAAAGTAACCAATTCAAAATGCTGTCCATGTCTTCGTCCTTTGGTTGAACTCTGCGCTAAAGTCGGGCTTGTTGATCTTCAAAGTAGCACAGATGGGCAGATCAGAAAACTTGACTTCGCCCATCTCTGTGATGTGTACTCCACCCAGCTCCGTAATAATGTCCATCCGAGGGAGCAGATCAAAACCTATCCACAACCAACACTCTGACTGTGACGGGGTCACTGTTGTTGATGCTGAGTTTGATGTTTCCAACTCTCCGCCTTCTCAGAGCCTTTCCATTGGCCGTTAGTATGTCCATCTTTTGTCTGCTCTACTGTCAACAAATTGAACCATTCGTGAGTCACTGAGAGCAGCCCGAATCTACTAAAGCAGTACGCATTATTCACAGGGAGCGCCTCTTTCATGCTCAATGCGGGGAAGCGACCGACGCTGATGTCATGTCCCCCATTCTATTTCCTGGACACTTAGAGGCAATGTGACCTACTTTATGATTTTGGGAACATCGTAGATCGAGACATGCCTTTCGCGCCAACCTGCTGCGCATTTCTTCGCGTTGATAGCGGCAGTATTTGGCAAAATGATTTGGCCCAGAGCACTGATAGCAGGTGACATCACCATGGCGATGGATGGCTGGGGTCAGATCCTCTTTGACTTCAATTGGCTGAACGACTGTGGCCACTGGTTCATCAGCCTCTTTTTCGTCGATCATGACAGCACGGGCTCTGGTCAACAATTGATTGAGTGTCAGGTCTTCCATTCTGGATGATGCACGGAGTATCTGCTTAACATGACTAGGCAATCCAGACACGAAGGCACAGGTCATCCATTCTTCAGGAAACGGTGCGATCAGTACGGCGTGCTTCTTTAATTCCTCCAAATATACGTCTACTGTCTCACCAGGTTGTAGACACCATGTCTGGAATTGGTCATAGGCCATGAACCAGTCAGTTTCAAATGCGGTTAGTAGAGCGCACTTTTTGTTCAATGTCACTTTTCTGTTCTTTCCTCAGCTGCCTATACACAGCAAGGGCGTCGCTTTTCAAGCACAGTGGAAGAATCTGTTCAATCTTCATGATTGCGCATAATTCGCAAACCAGTTCCATATTTTCGATCCATTCAACCACAGACTGTTCACTCGTATCACCACTGAATTCAGGGATCAGTTTTATGTCGAATGGTCTTTCCGCCATCTTGCTAGAGAAAAAGTAAATGCCAAAATAGCTTGTTGTAGAAAAGACTGTCAACTTATAGTAGCAACTGCAATAGATTTCTTCTGTTTCTTGACCGCAGCACTTGTAGCCAAATCACAGTTCAAACAATAGCCTGTCGTAACAGTCCAACAAAGTAGAAATGACAAAATGGGGTCACACGTCCAACCTTCACGTCTCACGAGCAAAAAACGCGTGTTCCGCCAGCAGCTCAGAAAATCTTCTCCTTCATAAGTGAAAAACAACGGCTTTGATTCATCGAGAGATTTTTCTGATTGGTCACGCCATTCAGGGGAGGGGAGAACATTAGCATAGATTATAGTCATTGAAGTAGATTTTTGCTAACTACTTTTTGTAATTTTTCTTTGGCAGATCGCACACAGAACACAAACTTTTTTCAGGGTAAATGATTATCTCTTTCATTACAGGTAGATGAAGTCAAGTACTTCCTGGAGCAATAAAATGAACTGATAATTTTTTAGCATCTTTAACAATGGATTGTATGTATGCATTCCACTTGAAGTCTTGGGTGAACTTAAGACCCAACAGACATTCAAAACATGGAACCTTATTGAGAGTGCAACCAGTCATCATGACTGGAGGAAACTCTAGGTCTAATTAGTGACTATGAAACAATACTACATTGGTTTTAAAGTTACAAGCCAGTTTGTTTCCAGTGAGTTGTTATAGCAAGGTCAGACATGTGATGAACAGCAAAGCCTCATACACATCAATTTTTGAAACTGCTTCCATAAACTGTGGTAGTGTCGGCATAGATCTAGATTATGATAGATTACTATTGATCTTTGAATGTTCATAAGTAGATTGTTTATTAAAAGCAAAAAGAATAGGACTGAGGGGAGAGTCTTTTCTCCATTGCTATCATGAGCTTCTGAAGTCTGACCATTGACAACAACCTACATAGACCCCTATGAGAGAAAAGATTTGATGATTTTCAGATATACCCTAATGGGTGAGTTTCTGTAGCACTCTTATGTCAAAAGACCTTAAGATATCTTAGGCAATCACCCTTACAATGAACTACAATCAAGTGCTTCATTGATTCTGTGAATGATGACAGTTAAAATATCAGCAGTGGACCCAGAATAGTAAAGCCTGTACTATTTGTTGCTCAGGAGGTTGTTTCTAGTGAGGTGATTGACAACTTCCTTGTTGATAATAAAGTCAAAATGTTTGCTAATGATACTAAGGAAGTCAATGGGATGATATTGCAATGGAGATGAATGCTTACCAGCATTCTTGAAGACACAGCAAACAATTGATAATTTCCACAGACTTAGGACACATTTGCCTTTCCAGAGAGCAGTTAAACAACTTTGTCAAGATTGGAGATAATTCAGGGCTAAACTTAAGTACAACAATCATTTTTCTTTTATCTGGATCAGTAACCTTTTGTAAGGTCAAATGTTTGGATGAGTCTGACAACATCCCAAGCCAAGATAGTGAAGTCAAAAAGCTTGTGCTCTTTGAGAGGAAAGAAAATAAGTAGTGGTTGTTCTTGGTCATCTAGTGTGGAGGTTGAGGCAAAGTTCATTCATCTTGTCTGATATAGGTGAAATAATGTCTGAGGCATTAATAATAGTTGGCACACATTATTCACCTCTGTTACCAATGTTGTTAGTAATTCTCCAGAATTCATGGCAATGAAGAAGTACTTTGATGAAGACCAAGACACCATTGCCTTAGGTATGCATTTTTTAAATCAATCTGGATACTTTTCAGCAGGTGTTAATAATTCATGTTGACTCTCTTAGAAACAAAGAATTCTGCTAAAAATCAATATTTAATTAGCAAAAAAAAAAAAAGTTGATAAGTTTGTTTATATTTTGATGATTATTTGTACCATCCTTATAATATTAATATTCTTTTTGTTCATTTTTAGGTGTGGAAAGCCTTCCATGTAAGTATTTTTTATAAATTTCAAGTTCTTCAATGAAGTTGAATGCCTAGATTGATTGAGATGTTTTGATCCAAACAAAATATCATCTCCTTTGACTGTATTAATTCAATAGTGATATCAAAAAATACTACTTGTGTAAATAAATAAATAAAACAATATAGCAGTATAGTGGAAATCAGAGCATAAAAGACATTGAACCACATGGTGAATGATGAGACTGTAGAAGATACCTTTGGGTGATTCTGGTTTTATTCAATTCATAAAGACACACAAGGTCTAAACAAAAATGGTGATTTCAGAACTCTTCTATGAAGGGAGAATAACCCCCTTAATAAGGGCATTGTAACAGAGAATCAGGCCAGCCCAATAAAAGACTCAGAGTTGTTTGTATGAAGTGCTATAAGCACCAGGAGTTAGCTCCCCTCCCCCAATGGGCTGTTGAAAGAAGACCTACTTAGAGTAGGTGGTGCTGCCTATTTGCATTTGAACAATACTAGCAGGTATTAGCCAATAGTCAGCATGGTTCTGGGACTTGGAAAGCTATATAACACCAGTGTTTTTCTCAGTTGGGAGAGCATTCTCAAGGTGCAAAAACCATGCAAGATGAATACAGGCAGATAACTATAATAATAATAATATTATTTTACCACAATCACTGCCACATCAAAAAAAGAAATTGTGTGTGTATATGCATTGCGATAAAAAATACAAATAAATAAAATTGAGTCCTTAAATGTCTAAGCGGTTGGGTGGCTTTGCAACTCAACTAGAGTGACACAGCATTTGTGGGCTATTTATATGTCCTTTCATAGAATTGTTCATGTTTTGTTGGATGGACAATTCACCATCACTGTCTTTATGGGATTGATTTTCTGGCTGTGTTGATTTTGGTAATTCCATGGGAATATGAACCTGTGGTAATTGAGCAAGGCTGCTGTCCACAGCTCCTTTTGGGGCTAGATGTGGCCTCACTACCATCTAATTTCGCGATTTAGGCATATTGTGGTTTTGCATCCAGGAGTTCCACCTCATCAACCAGTGGTTCATGCTTGCTATTTCGGGAACCTTGTTTCATATATATTTTTTGCCAGAGTGACTTAGCCATATGGGTAAAGTGTTCCCATTGGTGGATCATCTGTTGAACTTGTAGTCGTTCATGTGGCATGCAGTTTCAGTGCACAACAATGAATGACTAGAATGTAAAGCTTCAGACAAGACTTCTTCCCAATGTGACTCGGGAAGGTTCTTGGTTTTTAGTGCTAGAAGTATTGACTGCCAGGTGATGCCATTGTATCTTTCTATTTGGCCATTACCTTCTGGATTATAAGGAGTTGTTCTACTAATGACAACTCCATAATTGTGTAGGAATGTTTTTGTTTCTTGTGAAAAAAATGAGGATCTCTTGTTAATATGAATGTAAGCAAGCATGCTAAATATGGACAATAGATTGGACAGGCAGCTATTTACAGTTTTAACTTGCATTTTTTAAATATGGGTAGGCAAAATGAACTGGGAAAATTCATCTATGATGGTTAACAGATACTTAACAGATATGGTAGTTGACCATTAAGGTCAAAAGGTTGAGTGGCTTTGATTAGGTGCAGATTAGTTGATTTGTGGAAATTTGGTTTATGTTGACTGACATTGTGCGAATTTCTTCGACAGAATATTTTTGCGGGTTGTAGCTGAGGGATAATGTATCGGAAATTACCTATGTGGGGAGTGTTCATGATTTTTGCTGAGAAGGTAATAAAATGTAAGACTTGATGCAGGCTCCAGGGATACACCTGTATTGAAAATATCAAAGAAGTCTGGAGATATGAAAATTTACGATCCTGAAGCCAGAAAAATAAGGATCTAGAACAAAAAGCTAATTTTGGCTGCCACCTGTGGATGGGCTGGTCTGTTTCTCACAGAAGAAACATATGGAAAAAAGAAGAAATCAATTAGCCTATTTTTTGCCCCACTATTCAACAATAAAGATATTACTAAAAACAATCTTATGTTTTCTTTTATATTCAAAAACAAATTTTTGTTTAATCTTTTTCAGATGAGGATGGATATGCATCTATGGGTTTTCCATTATGTAAGTGTAGAACATACTTATTTTAAAACTGTATCCATTGACCATATAAAATAAAATTCTTCAATCATTTTATTCACTATTTTAATATTTATATATCTTTGAAGCACCTGAATTGATATTGTCACTTGTATCTGTTGAGTTTAAGAAGTCTGAGATCAAAATAGCTTCTTTATTACAGGTTACAAATTGTTGTGTGTAAATTTTCTTATGCTTTTATTCTATAAAGATATTTGTCATCACTCACATGACTAGTTGTGGTTGTACAGACACTGTGCAGCTGTCACTATCTTGCTCCATATTTCTTGGTTGCATGCCAATGTCTAAGGCCCTGTCAGTGATCTTCCAGCTTATTTTGTTCCTCTGTCTGCTTCTCTTTTTGCCTTAGGTGATATCTTGGAGGATTAAAGGATTAGATCTGATGATGTTTTCATACAATTTCAAATTTCTCTTCTTGGCAGCAGATACAAGGTTTTCCAAACAGCTTGCTTCTAGTCTGGGAGTGAATTCCTCTATGCAAACAACTCAATCAAATAAGAAATCTAAGCAAGTAGTTTCAGTTTTGCATGACACCTCACCAAGGAATCGAGTAGAACATTCAACCATTTACAACAATCTGCTGACCAAAAAATGAAACATATCTTTCCTTCAATAATGTGTGTTAATGAATGCAAGAGACAGTGATGTCAAATCCATCTCAACACTAAAGACACAACTTGGTCCAAAGAAGATTTTACAATGCACCTAGTGAAGAAATCAGATAGTCGAGTTTGTATTTGAGTCAGGATTGTTACATTCACTTATGCATAAATACCCTTGGGAAAGATATGAATGCATCTCTTCTCCTCCTATATATATATATATGTTGAATAGAAGGACAGACTGGATCCTATAGCCTTAGTTGGCAACCAGTCTACCACAGAAATATGAACCTACTGCAGGAAAATTTCTACATAGTCATAAATTGAAAGAGACATGATCGCTCAAGTGTCTATGACATATGGCACTTAACTGAGTGAGACATAAATACCATCCACGATAAGTTATTATATCCAAGGGAAATTATCCCCATAAATCTTTAATGTTAACAACTCTGATCATTACAGCAAAAATTATTAACTGATCAAAAAGTCATTCATTATCTTAGTATAACAATAAAAAGTCTCACTCTTAGTGGAATGAAGTTGAAATACTTTACTGCATCCTCTTTACTCATCAGACCTTCGTACTTTTAGCCTATTACTTGCTTTAACCTTGAGAGCTTTTTCTTCGTGTCATAACATTCAGAAATAAAACATCAGTTCAGATCTGTCAAGTTTTTTCATCATAAAACTATAACTTATGGTCAATAAAAATATGTCAGCAAACAATGACAAACATGCTTGCAATATGACAGTGTCAAAAGAACAGTTTTTCTCATGACAATTCCTTTTTTTAAAAAGCAATGATTACAATTGGGATAAAACCAAATCATGATAAAAGGGAATTTATACATTTTTTTGTTCCTGTGAATTTACAACAAAAATATTAAACATTATTTATTAGATTGTTTATTTATAAGAATAATTTTATATTTACAACATTCAAAAAATAATACAATTAGAACTAATGCAATGCAATGTTTATTATTTACCAGTTTATAAAGAAATAAATATGAGAATAATTTTTTATTCATTAAATTCATAAACATTTACAAAATTATTAAAATATGTGAATCAATTAGAAGGAAATCCTTATTTATGATTTTATAAAGTTTGAATCTATTGGCAATTTGCCAATGTTTTGCCGACCATTCCAATAAACAATATAATAAATGGTGTTTATTATTTTTGTTGTCACTTCTCAAGAACAAAGAAAATGTATAAATTCATTTTCATATGTTAAGATTTTATTAAAATTCTAATGATCACTTTTTAAAACAAACATTGCCTAAGAGTGAAGGTAGTTGAAAAAAAATATGATCTCATGGAAAAAACAATCCTTTGACATGACATCCTATTGTGCAGTGGTGAATAGAAAAATGAGCTGCTTAAATTTCCAATGTAACTAATTGCAAGTAATTGTGTCATTGATTAATTAAATTACATTTTTTTTTCTTACAATAAGGTTCACCTTTTATAAGGCTCATCATCCACTTAGTTGATGTTAGGAGGTCATATAGGAGTGGAAGATAACAGTTAACCTAGCCCCTTGAACAGGTTAAGATTGTAGTGACTGGGGAAACATCTTCATTGGAGTCAGTTCCACAGGGATGTGATTCATGGGACCAGTGAATGTAGTTCATTTGAGCACTGAAATAGCGATAGAGCAGTATTGCATCTGTTTTTATATTCTTCAAAATGCAGTATTTCAGCCCAGTTAAATAGAATCTCAATGCCAGTCTAGTACAATACTGAAATTCAAAAACTCTAGGTACCATAGTGAAGAGCGATATTGTATAAAAATACAAAATTTATTACAAGGCCAAAATGGAGAATGCAGAGGGAAGGTTGGTCTTCTTCTTTCTTAATATTAAACTTAGCTAGCCACAATCACAGACCCAAACATGCTACAATGTTCCTTACACCAAAGCAAGGCATTCTTACCATTCTTACTACATCCACCATAATATCTCATTGTCTCTATAAAGTCCTAACTAGTCCACATAAAAACAATTCTTGACTGTAGGGAGAGATGGGAATATAACAACAATTTAAAAACAAAACCCCAACAATTACAATGAAAGTATTTATAGAAAAGATATAACCAGGTAATCTTATGGTGATTAGAAAGTGACTCAAGCTGAGCTGCCAGATCAGAACCAATAATATTGCTGATTCTTCTTTGGATCTTATCAAGGAGCTCAAGGTAAATAGTAGGAGGACCAAATGTGGCAACAAAATTCTAAGCACAGTTGAATGGTAGACATAGATATTTAAGATAGATTCTGGAGAGAAAAAATTGTCTCACCTAACACAGTGAACCAACTTTCATAGCAGCTGACCTAGCAATAAATTCAATATAGTCTTTCCAATTCATATCAGCATAGAATGTGACCTGAGAAGACGCAACGTGTCACTTTCCAGGAGGATAACATCATCCATGTTGATGAAAGGCAGGAAGAGATCGCTCAGATGATTAATGGAAAGAAGTTTAGTTTTTTAGATGTCCATGAAAGTAAGAGAAAGGTGAAGAAAAAACTAAGTCAAAAATGAATATTTCATTTCAGCTATCATGATTTATTTCTCTGTAGAAATTTCCAGATATTTTAAAATATATTCCTTTTTTTCTAATCATATTCTACATGATTTTTTTTTACTTACAGGTCCAGAAAGCCTTCAAGGTAAGTACATTTACAAATTTCCAGTTCTTTAGGTGGCATCATTGGATGCCAAGATGATAGTATTTCATTCACTTATCATCCCAGTTTAGCATAGACTTAATTTAACTTTCTGTAATTTTATCTTTAACTTTAATTTATTTTTCACATGAATATTATTGCTTGTGAGAAAGTCATGTCTCTTGATGACATGCTTTACATCACAAAAAAGTAAGTCAAAGGATGAATATATTTTTCTAGCCAATATATGGCAGTGAATGCTGGACAATCTTCTCACAGATGAAGAGACTTGGAGCAACTGAAATGTGGTTCTACAGAAGGACACTTTTACTCAACATCAACAAGAAAATTTGATACTCATAGGACAGATTGAAGGGTCATTTTGACGTGGTTTAATCGTCAGCTGACTTGTCTCACTAAATCAATTATGACTGAGTTGTGATTTCATTCTTCACTGGGTGCTCCACACTTTTGCCCTTGGGCACATCTATGCTATACTTAGAAAATAATTTGTCCACTTTGATGTCATCTAATGGTTAGCAAGCTTGTCTCACTAGATCAAATATGACAGTAGAGAATCCAATCTTACACTTTACCCAGCATCATTTCCATTGAAAGAAACTTTCTTGGAACTCCTCTTTTTGGATAGCAAGCAGCTGCCTAGTCTCTTGGATTTCCTCTATGTCTTGAAATTGTGTTCCTCTCAAGTGGGATTTGATTTTTGAAGAGGAAAAAGTCACAAGTGGCAAGATCTGGCGAATATGATGGGTATCGAATCTGGGGAATGTTGTGCTTTTCCAAACATTGCTATGGTCACTGATGGAACCTCTGTGGTGTGTTGAGACAACCACACTCAGCACACGTTTCTTCCAAGCACTGCTATAAACAACAGAAAATGAGCAAGAACAGTATAACTTAGTGTGTGTACATGATAGTTCAATCTGTGTCAAATGGCTTCACACTTCATACTTTAGCTCTCTCACCATAGCAACAAACCTGATACTTTTTTTTATCAGACCTCATATTTTGAATACTTACTAATTTATAATGGAATTTCTTTACTGTTATGGTCCAATATCCTCGCGCCACAGTTATCGTCCAAGGTTAGAACCAAGGAAGAACAACACGAACATGAGTAGAATAACAAAGATATATTACAACAGAAATATACTACAAGAAGTTGAAGGTGTTCATAATGACTGTCCGTCTGGTTTAGAGTGAACTAATATTGTCTCAACTCGTTACACTATTTATTCATTATACCTCTTGAGAGGCGCAGTATTTATAGTGTCAGGAAGAGTCCATTATCGCTATAGGTAAGTTCTCATAACATTTACGAAAAACGAATTTTGTAAGAAAAAGTTTTGAAATTTTAAAATATAATTTGAACACTTAATATTTACATTTTTAAAGTTAAATCCCTGTAAAAATGAGATTGGTTAAAAAATGAATTTTCAGCTGCATTAAATTATACCCGGAATTGAGCAGCTTGTAACCTGTTTATCATCATCTCTCAGTTGCGTCTCTGTGTTTAGACAGCTCTATCAAAAGACAGTCACAACTGAGGAAAATTATACTGAGAGGTGCCCAGCCCTGGGGAACAGCTGCCTGATGCTGCACTCTCTCAGTGCACCAGAAAGAGGGATCAGTGCTCGCACCGAAGCCGGCACAACCAACAGTTGTGGGAGGTCAGGGAAGTTTTGTTCCTAGCCAGGATGTATGTGCTCAGGCTCCCCACATTAAACTAACCTTGTGTCATAACCTCACCTCATGGGGAGAGGGGTTGAATAAATACAAATTATACCCAGAATAAGAAAATAAAACTAGATTATTTTATTGTTTTGTTTTTAATTACTTTATTTAATTAAATATTCTACAGACTTGGGTTGGGGGTGAAATCATGGATTTTTTCTACTTTAATTACTAATTTTTTTTATTTTAAATTATCTATTTTTCTGGATAATTCTGAATTATTATTGTTCTTCAATAATTAGATTTTAATAATGAAGAAATATGATGTTTAACAATATAATTACAAGATGTGTTCTTGCACAAATTAATCAATGAAATCTAACCATTTTAATTTTTTATTTTGTATACACATGTAAGGAGCCATCATTCTGCATTTTTACCTGGCATCAATCTCAACATGATTTAATTTCTTTTTCTTTTCTTCATTTAGATGTACTACCGGAAGAAATTGGTAAGTATGAACCAAACTTATCTTAAAATGTAAATTCTTCATTATGCATAGATGAATATCAAGCACACTAAAATATCTGTCTATATTTCTGAGATGAGGTATTATGTACATTATCTACATTATTCGGACTATTGTCCTCATCTTTGTCACCATATTTATTACGACATTCCAGCCGTTGTACACTCTGGCCTTCTTCGGGTGGTTGGAATATCAAATACCATTTAAGGCAGTGGAGAACTTGGAGAGGGGAATTAACAGGAGATAACTGACATCCATTAAACATGGCATGTGGAACTAGAACAGTCTACCCCAGTGAGCAAAATAAAGGGTTCAGTTCGACATTCCAACCACCTTAAGAAGGCCAGAGCATACAATGGCTGAAACATTGTAATAAATATGGCGACAAAGATGAGGACAATAGTCCGAATAATGTAAATAGTGCACACTAAAATACTACATCAAATAAACTGTAAAAATGACTACAAATGCTGGAAATATTAACCATAAATAAAACACCTAATATCAAGAATGTATTATCAAATTTAAGAACAAATATACTAAATAAACTTTATGAACAAAAAAACATTACAACACACAGTAACACATGAAGAGGTGATACCTAAAAACAGAATCCATATTTGAAAGAAGATAAGACTGTATGGAGATTATCAGTTATGGATGAGTTGTTTATTTTATAACCACATCCATTCCCACTATACAGAGCCTGGTACATACTACCTCCAATCAGGCGTGGGGGCCAGTGATTGGTGGCTTCAGGCAGTGCTTTGTGACTCTTGCTATCTTGTCAACATTTGCTTTTTTTTATCTACATTTATATACTTTACAAATGCACAACTGTCTATTAAAGGATGAAAAGTTTTTGCAGATTTTTATATCATTCTAGATTTCTTTTATCCAAATATATGAATTTGTTATGTTCATGCTAAGTTACAAAATCACTATATAAAATTCACTATTTTTTATCCATAATATTGAATGGGTTATAATTATTCAATTCTTTAGCAAAGCAAATCTCAAGTTGATATTAAAAATTGCCACAAAATGTTGATTTATTTAAGATGGAATGATCTACTTTTTGTATGAATGAGTCATTGCAATATAAATTGAACTGCACCACATATTTATATATATATATATATATATATATATATATATATATATAAAGGTTAAAATGGTGTTTCCAACCTTGAATGGCAACCTTCCTAGAGATGGTGTCTCAATAAAAACACTGTGTACTTTGGACTACAATGAGAGTCTGATTCGGTTATGAGTTGTAAAACCTTGCCTCGTATTATTATGACAAGTTTCTACTAATATACATCTTGCTTGAAGAACTCTACTTTGGCTTCTTGCATCTCTGTCAACATTGCATTTAAATTTTTAAAAGTCAATGTCATTCATTATATATTTTAATTCTCCTTCTTTTATTGCTCTGTCTCTTGAATAGTGTTTTTTTTTCTTTCCTCATATTCTCTCACAATCATTAACCCCTTGCATCTTAGTAACTTTATTGTCTTGCAAGGGGTGAAATGATTAAGATATATATAAAATTCTCAACAATGTTTTCAATTCTATCACTAATACTCATCTTTTTTTTGTTTTGTTCTTTTAGTAGAAATGGAATCACTACTCTCTAAACATGGTAAGCTGAAAAATTAATCAAAATTATATGTCCAGTATCAAAACTGCATCTTGTTTACTTGTTGATCAATTTTAGACTTACACTTACATTTCTAATCTTATTTCAGTCAGGTCAGACTTGAGCCTGCTAGTGGTAAGATGTAATCCAGTACAATTTGCCGCATAGACAGGAAGTTAGCGTCTAAAGAAAGTTCCTCAGTAGCTTTTCTGCTGGTGAGGAGGATGGCCTATTATCTCATAGAATGAATGGCAACCTTCCTAGACATATAAAAACACTCTCTGTACTTGAGTCTGATTTGGTTCTGAGTTGTAAAACCTTGCCTCAAATTATTATGTCAGGCAGAACCTACCTTGCCTGATTAATACTAGTCTTGCCTCAACAAAAAACTAGGCTATGTACATGCATGTGTATGCACACATGTGAAAATTGTAAAAAGCAATTGTAGTTCAACACTATTGCTTTAACTAAATGATGTCTAACGTTGACTGAATCGTAAGATTCTAGCAATAAAACAAAAACAAATTTCTTTATTTTGGCTGTTTTTTGTTTTTGTTTTTTTGTTTTTTTTAAGCATCTCACCCCAATCAAGGTGGGATGCTACTATCATGCAAGGTGTTACAGAGAGTGGGAGCAAGAGTAAAGAGGCATGCTAGAGGAAAGGATGAAGAGAAGGATAGGGAATAGATCAAGGAATCTGGAGATGTTGATTGACATTACATTTATAGTTGGAGATTATAGCTATCAGGGAAACAAGTAATACGAAGAGAATTCCATAGACTTCGTATATCAGTTTTGCATCTCTATAAAGAGCTGTTCTGTTAACATTTGTATTTTTAATGTTAGAAATAAGTTTTAATTGTAGTTTTAATGTTAGAAAGACTTCAATGAAAGAAAAAAACAAATAATTGCAATAAATTTATTTTGTTTTTATCTGTTTTTCTACAGAAAATGAAATTCGTTTATCTCAAGAGGAAACGGGAAGACCTAACTTTCAGGAATGATATGATTAAGAGAAGGTATGGTATTTTGCAAGTGTTCTACTTTTAATATTATTGGTAAATTCCAATTGGGCTGTTTCATGTTGTTTGTTGAGATAATCTTTATAATTATTATATTTATTTATTATTGTAGAATAACAGTTGTTCATTCTCACCCCCGCCTCCTTTAAAAAGGTTTTTCATCCTAATTTTTGTGGAAAATCATTCAATTATTCTGTTTGCTTATATTTACAAGAGGTGTGGATAGAGTAATGGTTATCAATTTTAAACATGTAATCTGTGAACTGAGTTCAAACTGCTACCTCATCTTCTGTGCTCACTTTCACATTTATAAACTGGAAAAAGGCAGGAATCTTTTCTTTTGTGTCCCCCAGTTTGGGTTAAATAGCAGAGTAGACTGGGCTCTCTGGCAACTAGTCTAAGAGAAGGAAAAGTCTAAATTTCAAACAGTAGACAAGAGGAAACCACTCTCTTCTCTTTCCCAAGAATTCTTCAAAATTCACAGATAATGAGTCATGATCACCTATGTCCTCAAGAGATATGAGATTTGACTTGACAGAGACTGAAGACTGTAGACTCTGTTTAATCTTTGGTTCTTCCAAGCTGGAATTAGGTTGGCTTTCTGGTAGGGAAACATACATTAATTGAGATGGAATATGAGAAAGAAAAATGAAGGAAGAGAGATGCTAAATAAAAAGGGAGTAATCAAAATCTAGTGAAAATGTAAAATAATAACATGTATATTGAACAAGGAAAGGAACAGACAAAAGAATAATCTAAACAGGCTTGCTGGTTGGACATGCAAAAACATTTAGTGAAAAGCATGTAGGATAAGGTAGTGGGATAAGGAAAATAATGAGAAGATACAGGCAAAGAGTGAGAGAAGAACAAAAGTATGAAATAATGGATAATCTTAGTTGTAAATACCCATGAATCATTTTTGTTTATGTATTATTTGATATTAGTAGATATTGTGTGTATATAATAAAAAGAAATTTAACTTTGTTTTCCTTTTCTCTCATTTTTTATCCTTACTGAATAAGGGAACTAACAGCACAGACGACATCTTCATTAACAGGCCACATAAAATCTAAGAACAGGACACTTATATTAGGGAAAGAAAGATTTTTCAATGCTGGGATGAATATATTGGAGAACTCTTCCATGATGAAAGAGAACAACTAGCAATACACAGAAATACCAATATGCTGGAAATACTACTAAAAACCAAATTTGAAGCTGCACTAGCCAAATTTAACATAAAAGGGTTAGCAGCCCCAGACAGAATTATAATAGAGATGCTGGCAAACTTAGATGATATCGACATAGACAAGATTACAGAAATAATAAATGAAATCTACAACAATGGCCATGTACCAAAAGATTTAAGCACATCTATTTTCATAGCACTGCCTAAGAAACCAGGTACAAATGAATGTGAACTCCAGCAAACTATCAGCCTAATGAGCCACATAACAAAACTCATCATCCAAATTCTGATGAATAGAATATACAGAAGAGTTAGGCCAAAGATATGACAAGAAGCAGGTTTGTTAAAGACACTGGAACAAGGAACACAGTATTTATGCTCAGAATGTTATCAGAAAGAGCAATACAAATGCAGAAGAATGTGTACCTGTGTTTTATAGACTTCAAAAACATTTGACAAAGTATGCCACTTAGATCTGTTGAAACTGCTCAGCAACCTTGATATATTTGGGAAATATATTAGAATAATCAATAACCTATAGCAGCAGCAAACAACCTGCATATGGATAAAAAATAAGTCCAGCAGATATACAAAAATAGAAAGGGGTGTAAGGCAAGGATGTGTCTTCTCACCAGACTTATTCAACCTACACAGCGAGGCAATTCTGAGAGAACCGGAAAATCTATCAGGATTCATCATTGGCAACCACAATCTTAACAGTATAAGAATTGCAGAAGACACAGTGCTGATAGCAGATATGGAAAAGAAACTACAAAACCTCCTATAGAAGGTAGTGAAGGAGAATAAGAAGAAGGGACTAAGCATAAACTACAAGAAGACAGAATGCATGCTCATCAGTAAAAGGATGAGCACGAAATGTGATTTGCATGTCGGGGACGTTAAAATCAAGCAGATGCAGAAGTTTAAATAACTGGGAAGTATATTGACAGAGGATGGTAAGTGTGACACTGAGATCTGTAGGGATGGTCAAGGACGCATTCCAAAAGCTGGGCAGAGTATTGCAAGATAGGAGGATTTCTTTGGTAACAAAGAAAAGAATACTGAGCTGTTACATGATATCTGT